CACTGAAAATTGCTGCTGCCTCTTGAATTATTCATTCGAAACATTTAGAAACAGCTGTTCGAATATTAAAGAGGTAGTCATCTATTGCTACCTAAATCGCTTGTTGTCTATCGCCGAATTACGTATTCGATGCTTTAATGACGGTAATTTAATTGCCTTCAGTTCGATCGTTGAATGAAAATTTTTCAATTTATCACTGAAATCAATTACTTTTCTCTCTCTCTCTCTCTCTCTCTCTCTCTACATTCATCGTTAAAAAGACGTTCGATAGCAAAGTTCGCCGGCATTCGGTTGAATGCAACGAGGCCACTTAGCCCGGCGGTGATTAGATGGAAACGACGCCAGACGACGCGGCGTCTCGCGACTCGTTCGGAATTCGCTTAATTGAATGATTCACCGGTCTAACTGTTCTTTCAATTAACGCTCGCGTGCGCTAGCCAGGACGTCATCTGCATGTGCCGCGCACCTGCACGAAGACGTTTCACGGTCGAACAGGGACGCGTGTGGAAGGTATTCGAGTCAGAGAGGATCACGAGGACGGGGGATGAAACACGTTCCCTCGGCTGGTTCGATGCCAGTTATTCTAGATGCACAGGTGCCCGTCCTTGCGAGTGTCCACGTTAATGTAGACCTCGGTGTTGTCGTCGACACAATGACTTTTACCGGAGAAACAGGACCTCGGTGTACTTTTTAATGGACTTTGCATATGAACGAGCACGGGTCTCGGCCACGTGGACACCAGGTGAGCGAACCTTACGGACTACGTTTCCACGCTGATTAAGATCCTCGTCACGATCGACGCGTGATTGGCAAGTGCAGCGCGTGTCGACGAGCTTCGTACCGCGTTAAATACCAGTAAGCGTTTCGACTTTTCGATTCGCGCGTCGCTACGAAAAATACGCTGTACTGGAATTTTTCGTCTCTCCTATACGTACGCGTATTCTCGTGCACGTATAGCCAAAACAGGCGCGCGGAAAGGTTCGCGAATGAACAGTTCAATTAACCCGCGACGAGCGTTTCGCGAGAGGCGAGAATGGCGGGTGCAGGGCGAAACCGCGTACCGCGGAGGCTGGCGCACGTGTAACGATGTAATTGCTCGGCGACGGTGCATCAAACATTCCAGTTCGCCAGACGAAAGATAAAAAAGATAAGCTGGTACGAGGCTAGAGCAGAAAACGGTTTCTGGGAGTTGGTAGACAGTCTGGTCTGTCTGGTGTGGACGGTGGGTAACTGGAAACCGCAGGGATACCGCGTCAGGGGACGTCGGTGGATGATCGGGAGGGATGGTGGCGTTACGACTACGTCTGTTGCCCTTGCTTCCGCAATCACCCTTCTTTCGCCCCCCTTACTTTTTTTTTCCTACCCTCCCGGACAGCTCGCGCGAATGAAAGGGCGCACGAGCGAATGAAAAGACAGGGAGGAGCGGAACACAGGGTCGCGACTACAGAACGATGCAATTATTTCGTAACGGTGATCTTATTATAAAAGCGGATCTCGCGTGCGAAAGGACCGGTCGATGAGCCAGGACCGGAAACGGCTGAATTTTGTTTCCGATCGATTTAGCCGTACGACGGGGCGCAGCTGTACGTGACTCAACGCCGCGCGCCGGTGAGAAATCTTGATTTCTTATTGTTCGACGCCGAGTGGATACATCCGTACGTCGGTCCTTTTACCAGCCGTTTGTTTTCTGTGTGCGTGCACGTACGTGTCTATGTTTGTTTGACAGCCACTCGGGGAAATAAATCTGTCGATTGAAGCGGCGAGATGGGGTTGTAATTTACGGTTCTTCCGCACCCTCCTTTTTTTTTCTCTATCACCCCGAATATACGCGACGATCAAACGAGTGCCATTCACTGTACGTTTGCTCGAAAGAAGCCATCTATTTAAATGATTTTGTCTGTGATTAAGAGATTCTTCTTTTTGTTTCTTTCTGTCTCCCTGTGTTTCTCACCCTAGGGAAAGGACAAATATTTGGGACCCCAACTAAATAAAATATTGCATTTAACAATAACTGCGCGGATAATAATTTCCCGGATTTCTGTTCGATAAAACGAGTTAGATTCCAATCGGCGAGAGTAATCGAACGAAGGCAGCGGGGAGGAAATAAAATTGTAATCAGAATGTGGCGGGTCACCCTTGGAGATTGCTTAAAATCAAAGGGTCGTCTAAAGGGATGGCTGAGTCCGTGATAGGGGCGGCGGAAACTTAATTCATCCCGTTCGCGCAAGAAAATCGAGCAGACGAACGGTCAAATTTTCTATAACGTCTCGTAATTTTCACGCTCGAGTTGGTCATTCCTAATACGTTTCACTTCGATTACGTTTAAAAGGTTTTCGATTTCAGCAAATATTTTAGTATCAGCAAAATAGGTAAAAAATGATTTTCTTTCGAATTTTTATAAAAAAAGAATAATAAAAGCGGTGGTCGGTGCATCGGTGAAAACGCAAGCACCCATTTGTCAAAGCCAGTGGTATCGATAGATCGAAATGGACGCCTGCAATATTTCTCCCCTTCGCTTTTCTTCGATGTGCTCGCCATAGATAAGTATCACGATGGTGGCCATCCTTCTGTTAGACGCGTTTTCAGTCGGTCTCATTGCCGTGTACCGGAACAGCCAGCGAATTCGTGACAACGAGAGAAAAATAACCGACCCGAACAATACATCGCACGATTTATAAACGATGACGAATGTTGCTTGTTACCGATAGATATCTATTGCTCGTTACCGTTTCTTCGGTACGTGCTATTGTCTGATGGGGTGGAGGCGATCGTTTGTCAAGTAACCAGGTCACTGCAATTTCGATTTTCCTCCTAAAACGGGTATGCAATTCCATTGAAAATTAATAAATTCAAAGCTATAATAAATACCGATATCTCGTGGCAACGCAAGAAACCGCGAGTTTACTAAAATGAATCCTCGAAGGAAGACCCGTTCGGTGTGTTTTGCTGTCAACAACGAAACATTAAATAATCCCGATGAAATTTCATACTCGTACGTAGTCGCTAATTACTACTCCCGTCGCGCAAAAACGATTTCTCTCATTACACACTCGGAACAATTAATTACGCGAACGGGTACGGAGCCAGGTTCACGGGCGAGGATGGAAATTCGTACTCTCGCTCGTTTTCCCTGTTCTCGTGTTGTTTTTTTCTATTTTTTTTTTTTTTTTTTTTTTTTTTTCTTTTACCTCTCATCCCTCCGCGTATTTGTCAGCCAACGAACACCGGGAAACGAATGCGGAACAATATTTCTCGGGAACGGCGCGTCGGCTGCCGATAAATACAGAGTTCGCGCGTACAGCGAGGAGCACCCTACCGGTTTTGCGGTATCTCGAACGGCTTAATGGCACTGTTAACTGCCGTATTATTTAACGGGGATTTATGCATCGCAGTCGGCCGATTAAAACGCTACGGCAGCCGGCCCCGGGGCGCGGGGCGGGGTTCGTCGGTACGATATAGGAAGACGTGGACACCGCAGGGGATGGAGTGTATCCTTAATTCCTCGTGAAAGCTCGCGCCGATGCAATGGAACGACTGTTCCGACGATGCTCTCTGCCAGGATTCGCTTGGAACCAAGAGAAAATTTACGAATATTGCTGCTGTTATTCTAGGATTATTTTCATTCCAAAATCCTATGAAGGCTGTTAATGATTTCTCAAAATTATCATTATTCAAAGCTTATACTATATATTAAAAAATTGATAGATTCAACAAGTCTGTAAACATTACAGTTATCAGGATCGGACGAGTGCACGAGTGATATTGTTTACACAATCGTGTGTCGTTCCTTATCAAAATTGATTGACGCGAATTGATAAAGTCAATGTACATTGCATGTTTAACATCAAATTAAAGCTTATCGTGCTTTTGTAAATACACAACCCCCCAATCTCGGTAATTGTATTTTCAACACAGATGTTCGTACGAAATGACGAGGTTAAAGCTTCCGTAGAAATGCAATTAAAGGACAATAAAGGTTTGAGGATTTTTATCGAGGAAATTCGTGATCGTTGAATCACAGATAGCGTGAATCAGAAAATTCCACGTTCCACTGGCGATGGAGCTCGTCAAACATCTCGCACGTCGGAATCGTGGAATTCTGTCGGGAATAGGTAAGAAGAAGGTCGGGATGGCTGTTACCGCTTGAAAAGGAACAATTCGGAGGTCTCGAGGTGAAATCGGTTCGTCGTGCGCAAAGAGTTTCGCATCGGGTGCGGGAGGGTCGTCTGGTGCGTCATCCGCGTCACGATCGGTGCCAATGGGATCTCGGATACGGCGACGATGCTATTGAGGATTTGCATCTCTTAGGTGGAGGAAGCTCGCGTTCGTGAGCCAGCGGTGAGGAGAACGATGGGAAATCCGGTCGGGAGTCGTATAGGTATGTTCGCGGATGGCCGAGTGCGACTAGGAGCGTGACAGTATAGGTGGAACGATCTGGCAGCAGCCAGATGGAGAGAGAACATTAACGGAGGTAGAACGGCAGATAGAAGGAGAGGGAGGAAGGAGAGAAACGGAGCATGGTCGATGTGTCTAGCCTAGCCCGGTTGGCTGGCTGGCAGGCTGGTTGGCTGGCTGGCTGGCTGGTTCGGGTGGCTGGATGAACCAGGGACCGTCTAGGTTGCGTCTGCCCCGCACAAACTCAGTATTATCTATACGTCTAGACACCCCTGCGCCACCGAGAGAAGACCATAGTGGTCTGGCGCTCCGCTTGTAATTTACAGCGTGCCCCGCCGTGTCTCTACATCTACGATCCCGCAAATTTCTCTCCCCAACCGTGTCCCTCCCTCTTCTTCCTACGTCTTTCCTTTCACCTGCCCTCTTTCGACGTCTCTCCCCGCCCTTTGACCTTTGTTCTTGTCCGTGCATGCGTGCACTGAAACAGTTGGTGGCAACCGTTGCCGTTTTAGACGATCCAGGTAATCGTCGCCTTGTTCATCGATAACAGGTGTCTTCCAGAGGATTCGATCGATCGAGGTACAAGTAGATACGGTACGCGGGAAAGTGCTTACCGAACACGCGAATCAACGCGGGAATTCCTCGACACCGGTGCGATAGTTCGATGTTGATGAAGCTCGCGTGCACGACGTGCCACTTCAGATATCATCGGGCGCACGAGCGATCGAGGGGATCTCGCGGCCGAGCCGCGCGAAAAGGGAAGCAGCCGTCGATTGGTATACAGGGTGTACACACGGGGTACGCGTGAAGAGAGTGTGAATATTGGTATCGCGATAACGAACGGGGAAGCCTCGCGTGTCCAAAAGCACCAGGCGAACGCGCGCGCATCTATCTCTATACATCGGTGATCTCCCGGTAATTAACGTCAGCTGTTAGTACCAGGGAGCTCCAGTCAATTGAATCTCATCGTTCTTTCTTACCGTTGTCCCTCGCGATGTCTATCGGAGCGAACGTGTTAGACGCACCTAAATTCACGTACACGTTACACCCTGTTTCATCCCCTTCTGCGACCCGAGACTCGACTGTATTTCCCGCTGTATCGCCGCTTTGATTATTTCCTGGAGGCTTAAGTCGCTACATCTACGCCCTCCTGGCTACGAGTTACAACTCGCGGCGAAGATTAAACGCTTCTTGGTTTATGGCCTCGTAGCCGGTCCTTGGGCTCGGTTTACCCCGGCTCAACGAGATTTCCCGAGGTAATTCGCTGGCCACCTTTTATGCAGCTGTTACTGAAAATCGATAGTCCAGCGATCGTGGCTCGGTACTTCGCCTGGAAAATACCATCCTCCCTTACACCCGGATCGTTTTTCCAGGGACGTATTAGCTTTTTGCTTGCCCTCTTCGAAAATGGAGGGTAAGATCGACTATAGCAACGCGTCAAGTATCGAACAAACCGTCTCACGGGCTTCAGGGATAGTTCTTCTATCGTACGAATTGTTCGCAAGTGACCGGGTAACGATCATGGATGACGCTCAGTCTAAGGCGGAGGGTAAAAAGATCGAGAAGATTAGCGGTAAACGTGGAGAACACGCAAAGAATCCGGTGACTTTTGATAGTATTTGGTAGGTGAAGTTGAAGAGGAACAATGAATTCGTTCAACGAGTGAACTGTTAATTAATTTCAGCAAGGAAGTTATGTTACGTGAGAAAATATTTCGACGCGATTGGTCTAAAAAGTACAAGCACCTGACCGGTGAATTTTTTAAGAAGGTACAAGGGATATCCCGTTGGAGGTGGAGAAATGCAAGGTGCAGTATCAACTGCGCGCACCACACGAATTTTAATGTGTCCCGGTGTCACTGACTGTAGGTGCTAGCCGAAGAATGCAGAAAGGAGGGACTTCCGGCGGACACTTTCGAACCCAAACCGCCGGAAGATGCGATTATGCGTTCACCGATACCTCTGAAACCGTCGCCGTTTATTCCCAGAACGACATCCGGCATGGTGGGCCTTCGATCATCTCGTCCAGAATACAATCTCGAGTTCACGGGTCGTTGGTACATTTCACCAAAATGGACGATAGAACCACCAATGGAAACTGATGAATTTCGCGTTACCCAACAACGATTCATCTTTCTCGGTTAAGTAATATCATTCACAGAATAGAACTATTGGATATATATATTTTTTATACACAGGACATCGTACATTGTAACAAATGTATTGAAAAATAAATCATCATTGTTTTTGTGTAATTACAAACAATACCGTGGAAATACATGATAAAAATCACTCTGGAGTATACATTTATACGCCATAGTGATAACTTTGTACAGAATACTCAATCCCATTTGAAAACTGGGATATCATTATGTTTCTTCTCTGATTATTTACATTCCAAACCATTTCTGTTTGAGAGTCGGTGGTAACTTTTCCGTCAAAGATATTGGATTCACTTCGACCGCTACTAATTCTTCGTCGTTTAACCAGTCCAAATATACGAGATGCTATAAACAGCGTTGATAAAATTTAATGTTTTGCATTTAAACAACGAGATAAGTAAATGGAATTACCTTGTATTTTTTAAGAACTTGGAAGGCTTGCTGCGAGTACGAGCCTATGATGGAATTACCATCCTCCGTGATTTCGCCGTTTTCACGTTTTGGCATTTTAGCGTACTTTTCGGAAAATTCGTTTAATTTATCGATCACATACACCGTCGAGTCGTCGTGCATTATTATGATATTTTCGTTGCGGGGGTCGAAAATGATATTCGTGATAGGGAAAGGTCGTGCCAGCCATTGTTTCGGAAGTCGGCTTTGTAAGCTGTTGGAAAATTTCGTGAATTGCAGTTGCAAAATGTTATACTCGACGATCTGAAATGAGAAACATCCAACGATTATACATCAACAATAATTGCCGATAAAACGTTAAGTTTTATCGTTTTTAATTTTGCACATCACATCATGATTCGAAGAGAGTTATAGCAACCATTTACTGCAACTTCCATGGAGGTAGGAAATGCTGGGTCATAGACAGATTATACGTTTTTTATAGCCGTTGTAATTACTGCTAACTCATCGTTTTACGACAGCATATTGTTTGGAATGAAGCTAGCTTTAATATCATTTATAATATTTCTTTTTCTCTTACCTTGTGATCTGAATATACAATAACTAAGTTTAAAGTATTTTTCTGGATAGCCATAGCTGTTGGTGGACAGCTGTATTTAGGTAATAACCATGCCATAGGTGCATCGATATCTGCACTTTCGCTGATATTATATACAGCGATGCTACCTTCTCGATCGGCACAAACAAAATATTTACTGTCAGGAGAAATACATACAAGTCCAACATTTACAATAGATTCTTTATTCGTATGAAAACAACCAAGATGCCTTAAATGTTTCTTCTCCACTTTGTATAACGTCACCGAGTTTTTCTTCCCATTGTTATTGATAGTTATGAATAACTTTCCGTTTGGGCTGAATAACATTTTCTGTATTCTGTTTACCGTTATATCGGTATCATTCTTTGATAACTGTGCATCTCCTTCGACCACATCGAAATTAAAAACTCTGACATGACTGTCAGTTGAATAGACAATTGTTTTAGAATCCTTGTTGATAGCGCAGGAAATAATGGTTTCGTCCCTTTTAGTTTTTAATTGCAATAATTTGATAGGCTCTTCCTCTAACTGGTGAAACATGCCGGGACGTATCGATTCGGGAGGTAATTTAGTCGACGATCCAAGTCTCCATAATTCAAGAAAATTTGTGTACCGCAATAGGATACATCTTGACTTCCTACAAACAGTAGCGCATGGAGGTTGAAGTAACGGCGGGTACTTAATAAGAGTTTTAGGTGGATAACTGGACTGTGCTAGATATCCATCTACACCAGCTGAATATAACTTTCCATCTGCTTCTACTAAAGCTCTAACATCGTGAGCATGTAATCTCCTTTCAATTCCTTTTACCCATTGTGGTCTACCAGTAGATTTCATAACTATTTTACTAAAACTTCTTACTACAGGATCAACACCAGCACAATATACAGTGTTCATATCGTGTGATAAAGTAACAGCTAATATATCAGCTGTATGACTTTCATGGGATTCAATCAAGGTGCCCATATGAGGGTCCCAAAATGATAAAACTCCCCTTGAATCTCCAGAAATTATAACATTGTCATCTGTAACTTCTAAACACCAAATAATCGTTTCTTTTTTGGCTTCTTTTCTAGCAGTTGTCATCTTATGAACAGCATGACCCGATATAGCATTCCAAACTCTAATTGTGTCAACAGATCCTGTATAAATCATTTCTCCAGTGTTATCCCATTTAATACAAAGAATTCTTCCTTTCTGTTTATCAAAGATTCTTTCATATATCAATGCTTCAGGAGTAACGGTAAATGTATTGATATATCCATCCTCAGTACCAACTGCTAAACATGTTTTCTTACGGTTAACATCCATACACCAAGCTGCACCCCCGGTAACTGTAACTTCATTTTTAATTGATAATGTTGTTAAATTGTACTCTGCTATTATGCCATGCAAACCGGTTGAAAACAATCTCGGACCAATCCAGAGGATGCTTTCTACTGAATTTGCAGCATGACCAGCTATTGTACATTCCACAAAAGGTGCATTTCCGACGCTCCATACCTCAATCGAATTGTCATTTCTGCAACAAGTTATCGTAAAGGTTTTTATAACGGATACCTTTAATTAAATACAATAGTAAACTAAAAAACTAACCTTGCAAGTGCTAACTTTTTTGTTTTAGATTCATAAGATAAACAAGTAACAGAACGAGGTTCAAGGTTATAAAATCTAATGTTATGTATTTTACAAGTAGACATGATTTATTTCAATTTCTAAAAGTCATTTACAGCAATATTGGAAATTTAATTATATATATTACAAACACACTAGAAAACATAACCACAAATTATCACGCACGTGGACGCTGAACTAGTCTTTTTATATTTTCATGTTGGTACTTGTATAGTGTGGCAACATTGCTGCACCATACTACACCTCGCGGCCTATTCTTGCAAAAGAGTAGAAATCTCTAATCGACATCCAAATTAACATATTCTAGAGCTCATGGCCTTTTATATTAGCATATTTGTGTTAAATGTAAGGAAGCGAAAAAAATACATTATTTAGTTTTTTCTTCTGTATTTATTATTTGAACATTTATTTTAGTATTAAAATTTTGAACTACACGATTTTATGTTTCCACCAATGACAGTTAGGTGGCATCGAATTGACCAATCAGACTCGTCGTTCTCGGCGATGTACGCAGGTCTGACTTATTACGTCACTTTCTTCTGCAATTTTGTCGCGAGTGCACACGTTTATAATAAAAAGTGATTAAATCGTATTAAAATATTATATTAAACTGTGTAATAAGTATTAGAAGTACGAAGAACCGAAGGCAAAGTTGAAGAGAAGTTAAGATTCATGTTTTTTAACATCAATTAAGGTGAGATCTTTTTGCTCTTGCTGAATTACTTTCCCTTTAAGTTTATATCAATAATTTCTTGAATATTATTACATTTTTTCATATTTCTAATACATTTTTCCCTTAATTTGGTATTTCTATTAGATTAGGGACATTGTCCTATTTTTATTGTTTTAAATACTTTATTTTGTTATAATTCTGAACCTTCGATAGGTTTAAGTTACCACGTGTTACAACAAATAGAAAGGGCTAAATATTATAGGGAATTAGGGAAGATTTAGTTTTAGTACTCTACACTGGAGGAAAAAAGATGTAAATATGGGTGAAGGTTTATAAGTACGTGCAGAAAAGATGGGGGGGTGCAAAATAACACTCAAATAATTTGCAAATCAATTCAACGTATATTAAATATCATAACATTGTTTGGTACAGCGTGCACGGGATACGCGTGCACGTGAAAAAAAAAGCATCCTGTGATACTGAATGTTCAAGGAACGGCGAAACGGTTATAGTTTATTTTTATTTCGAATTCCATAAATTACGGTCTGGTAAAGAACCTCGGTTTCATCGAAATTTTTATTCCAAAAGAAAGTTATTGTACAATACAGAGATTATCCTGATCTATCTGCGAGTCTGTGATACACGCGTGTGTAGGTACATATGTAAAAAAAAGAGAGATTATGTCGGTGGAAAAGGATGGACGAGTACGCAGAATACAACGAGAGACATGAATGAGAAAGCTTAACAAAACTCAGCAGATTTGCTGGGATTTGACCAAAAAAACAAGAAACAGATTCTACCCTGTTCTCGGTGAAACTCATTTAACAACTACCGAAGCGGTAATAACTACCGCACTGTATTGGTTATTGCCTTCTCAATGCATTTCCACGTCGTTTTATGTTCTCGTACAAAAATACGCTGCTCAAGGTATTCCTTGAACGTCGAAGAATCAAATATGCGACGCGCACGTATACAGGGTGATCCAATAATCATGGTGTGACCTTTAGCTCTTTAAATTACACTTCTATGTAGTATAGCAGTTATCAATTACAATTTGAAAATTATTACAGTAATTTTACGGGCTACAGTAATGGACAGGGATTCCTCCTTTGAGTTTTCCCAAAATAGAAAATTAACTGTAGAAAGCTCCCACCCCTTACCTGTAGATTTTAGACAAAGGAGATCTACCTTGCACCCAATTATACCTGATCAATGTAACCCAAATATAACTTAACCATAATTGAATAGACGAATCGGGTCCATCGAAAACAAAGACTCGTACAGAAATAATTTCTTTCTCTAATTTTCATTTAATCTCCCAAGAGAAATTGTAACATGATTAGTAGAACGCCCTGTATAGTATCCTCTATTAACGATGATTTAAACACCAGTCTCAAATCCTACAATTTTTCACGAGACGAAAGAATCAAGGCACTAAATTTTTCGCGTGTTCGAAGCGACAGCGATGATGATGGCATTGTCAGGCTCGAAAATGGTATGTACAGTAATACTGTAACCCTCTGTAAAAGCATAATACCATCATCGGTACATTCACGTAGTTTAGAAAATGTAAATGCTTAGTCCGTCGTTCACGATTTGACGGATCACGCTAGTTCAGATCTAGCCGATGATTAATTAAATTCTACACTTAAATTTCGCACGCTAATCGACATGTTCATTATAATACGTGAAACGAGTCGTTACCAATCTTATTATAGCTTTGTACTATTTCCTCTGAAAAATCTACACGAATACATAATAAGCGTTTTATTATCGAAAAATAAGATCACTTTTCGTCTCTTTTGTCTGAATAAAAAAAAATCAATTACAATTCGACGACGGTAGAAAAATTCACAAATTTCAATCGCTGCCTCGACACACCGTCCGATAATATTTTTGTAAAAAGAAAAAAAATTAGAATTCATCCCTGCTTGGGTATCGAGTAAAAAAGTTCAATCAGCGTCATTAATATCGCATGCTGACGCACGACGCATTCGGTGTTTCGCTAAACTTTCTACAGACTAGCAAACATGCACATCTCGACATTATCACACCTACGTGCCATTACTGCTTCTTACTCTTAATTAATAACCATCTTTTGTACGTCTTCTTTTTATCGTTTGTGCAACATGCACTAGGAACAGATCGGCAGTTTCCATCAGAATTACGTAGTCGATCCGAATATCCTCTTCATCGGTGAATTTATTATCCAATAATTTATTATACCAATAATATTTTTTATACATTGATTGCTATAGTGATGACTTGTGACAACATTTTTTACCAGTGGAAAATTTTATAAAATTGAATATCTCTAATAGTCAAAGTCTGTCAAATAACAAATTTGAAACTTAAAAAATTGGATGATGGTGTGTTGAATAATTATTATGCTTTATCATTATAGCAATCAACTTGTTAATCCCTTTTACCCGACACTTTTCACGACCGACAGAAATTTTGTTCCATAAAAATTATTACAGATTCCAAAATAGTCATTTGTTGCAGGTATAATAGTGTACAAAAATATTTGTGTGTCTGGTAGGAAGGGTTAAGTATCTTCCGATTAACGTCAATTTTCTAACGATTACATTGATTTCTATCAGAATAGTTTCAAGTAGATCGATCAACGATCAGCCGACGGAACCTCTTATCTTACAGATCGTTCTCTTGTCGCGGTAATTTGAACGAACGAATGCACGTTAATGCCAAAAACGCGAATGACGCTCCCTGTTTGCGGGTAAAAATAACGACGCTTAAGTATAATTTATGTATCTATACCCGTACGTAATAATGTACGTTAGCTACTAAACAGAAAAATAAAAGAAACAAGAAAGAAAACCGTCCCGCAGTTGTGTGAAGTCGATGGAAAAGCTTCGTCGTGCGCACGGTCAGCGCACCGCGAATAAATTAAAAAAGGGATAAAAGGGCGTCCTTATCCACGTCCTTGATACTCGTGTCAGCGTTTCGCAGATCTCAGATCCCGCGGATCGAAGGATCCACACATTCGTGGATCCGGGTACTGCGAGCCACGTTGTGCCATTTTTGATTGCTCGGTTAATCGCTAGAACGTATGGCGATGTACGGTAAAAGTCATTAATATCGCACGATTTATTACGTTATGGAATTACTAGTCAGCTAAGTGATTTATCGTGTTTAGCACGTCGGAAGTCATGGAAGTTATTTTATAAAAATTGTACGGTAACAAGGTCTTGCTTTTAGTAGTCCAAGAATATTTTGTGATATTTCAGTTTGTTAATATTATCTAAACCAGTATCGAATGCCAAATTAAATAAACAAATTTCAAATTTGTAATTTACACTGAACTTCTAAAAACAATATTTCTTCATACTTTTCAAAATAGCACAAATATTTTAAGAAAACAAAACAGTATCCCATTCTATACAACACCGGAAACGTAATCGTCCAAATATAATCGGCGCTACTTTGAAGGTTGTTACTGAAATCTACAAAATACTCTGATAAATGAAAGGTGAAACACCTGTCCGAGGGGAAAAGCGCGACATTAACGATCCTTATCGTACACCTGGCGTACGGCTTTATACGACGCAACATCAGCAACGACGACTCTGACATAAATCGGCAAAGATCGATCAAGTTTTCTACAACTTCAAGCCGTATTTCTATGCTATAACACGTATGTCAGTTAGACCAGTCAGACGAGAAGAACAAAGCTATGATGCTAAGTCTACGTCGTCGCGTAATGGCAGAAGGAGTTCCTATGCTGAACCATCAACATCCTGTTTTTCTCATTTTGCGACGATCAAATAGGCGTTACAGTACGCCATAAAAATCTAATTATTATTGTCATCATGATTAGACGGAGAAATGAAACATGCAATGATAATATCCAAAGTGTATATATACAGTCTTCCATGATATTGTCGTGATCGTCGAGCGATAAGCAACGGCTTAACGCAAGAACTCCTCCTATTCCTGATGTTTTAGATGATTGACATAATAAGAATGAACGAATCAAGATGAAGGCTACGAAGCCTCAACTACGCGACGTCCTCGTCGTCGTTACAGCCGTCGTACTACCGATGTGCAAACAGAAGGAGCGAGACGAAGCTAGAAGTTCGGAGCTCGCGTGGCCGCGTAACCTGTGCTCCTTGATGCTCCCAGGGGAAGTAGCATCACCCTCCTAGTCATCGTCGTCCGGATGGTCCGACGAGCTCGCTCAACGAGAGACGTGTCGTAGAACACGTCGGCATCAGTGGTACGCGCTGAGCGATTATTCCGTCGCACCGCAGCTCCTTCGAACCCGGCGCTTCATATGTGCTCCTCGAGGATCTCTTGGATGCTGACATAAGTGCCGGTCAGGAAGCCCAGTATGCCGAACGAAATGATCGCCAGATTCTTCCAAAGCTTCCAATAATAGGAGCCAAGTCCCTCTTCCTGATCCCACACGGTGACTAGCTCGATCACGGACGGGAACATGAGACCCAAGGTGGAAAGGCAAACCGCGCCCACGAGAGATATGAACGGGCCCAGGTTCGGAATCGCGATCGCCACGCCGACCGTGAATACCACAAAAACGATGCGGATCGCGTACTCGGCAATCAACTTCCTCGAACCGAAGTACTGTTTGGCGTTCTTCCAGATGATCTCCATTGGCACGTAGAACTGCAGACCGTAGGTAAGGAAAATCGCTATCGCGATCATGAGCTTCGCTGATTGAGCCAGCACCTCGCTTTGCGTTGGGTTCAGCGTGATCGAAGCCTTCGTGTCCTCACCGTAACGCCAGTAGCCGAAGAAGCCGACGGTGCTGTACAACAGCACTACGAAGAACATACCTGTGTTCAATACACCTGGGCAACCGGTGAAGTGCGTTGGGGTTTTCATGTTGTTCTCCAAAGGCATCACCTGAGGATAATCAAAGTGTCATTAGAAAATTACATTTCCTAGAGTTCCTATTATCATATTATCAGTATTGTGTCTGAAAATCCTAGGTCCCGAGCTATGCTTAATAAATTCAAAATCATACTTACAACGCCGATGCCTTCAAGAGCAAAGATTGCTGTGCCGAAGAACAAAGGTAATTGAGACCAGCTCGAGAAATTCGGCACGTTGTCCATACTGGGCAAGTCGCTGAAAATGTAGTAGAAAGTGATCCCCATGCCAGTGGCGATCAGTACGTTCGCGATCATCGAGAACGGCGCCAGGTATTTCAGGTTCCTCACGAGCGAGAATATAATTAACAAGGGCAACAACGCTGCCATGTACAACCGAACATCTCGATCGGACTCCGTATAATAGTCGACCACCTCTTTCACGTTGGTCGAGATGAAAACGATGTACACACAGCAACAACCGATTAGGTCGATCACGAGAAACGAATTGATCGTCGCTCTGGAAAAGCATAATAGGTAGTTATAAAATACAAAATATGGGAAAAATATAAAAGAAAAATAATCTTCTAAAAGAACATACTTTGCAAGGCGAGCGTATTTCTGAACAGGCTCGGGACCAACCAGAAAGGCTGCTTCGGCGACATCAGCGAAGCCCAAGCTGGGTGTCTGGGTCCGCCTGCAGAGGTCATGGGCGCACTTCACCAATATGTGAACGCAGTAAGTGCAAACAGCCCCGATGAAGAATGTCGCGAACAGACCAAAAAGCAAACCGGCATTCCGGAAAGCCATTGGCATCGCGAGAATACCAGTTCCCAGACTGCCCTTCAATAGATGTATAAGGGTATCCATGTCCGAGGTTGGATGGGCCAGCTTCCTATGCTCGAAGGGATTGTAAAGGGCTGCCTCCTCGTCGTTCGGTCGTTCCACGAGCGGCAATGTCGAGCCGTTCGTGACGGTAATTGGTACATCATTTTTCTCGCATTTGTATCTGCAAAACCAACGTCGTTAGTGTTCTTGTCCCGTTAACGTTCGGCGGTCATGTCAGAAGGGACAATTAAAATTCTGAGGGACGCGCGTGCGTGATTCACGTGAGTGGAAGTGTTTAGCGTGGGATCTAATGGGTACGGCACGGTGGTACAAACACGACCCGTACGACGTGTTTTTTTATCGCGATCGACACACCGATTTTTGTGTACGCTAAGGCTCGACACTACCGAACGGTCATGGCGGGGAAAAAGAGAGTGACGTGTGTGACGCTACCTTTACTCGCAACGCGTGCACGCCACGCAGGAGGATGACGGACATTGGGAAACAGAGAGGATCGAAGTGTCGTACACACATTTTCATTTTTCTTTTCTTTTTTTTTTTTTAAATAATCTTTAAAAGCTTCCAAAACGGCGTAGTCGGATATTTTCATTTGTTATGTCAGCTTGCATTTTATTTGTTGACTCATATCTGACTCATACTTGGATAATTAGGTTTTGTGGAAACTTCTCGCTCTTTTTATTCTTATATTTAGAGTGTTAGCGAACAATGGAACTAATGTATAATAGTGGCACTTAACATGCACTTGACATCATCTCTTAAGTCCTTGCAACAGTTATATTATGCATCACTTTAAAAAAGATAATAAACTTGAATATAATGGGCCGTATGTTGACAATTAAAATAGCTTTGTTTAAATAATATATTGACAGGAAAACAAAAGAACCGTCAGTAGAATTTGATGCATCAGTTCTTAGAATAATTGTTAAAATTTTTTAATGACCGACATAGAAATCGTTTGTATGCAAATTTTCCTTTTGACTGTTACTATTATAAATTTATTCGCAGACACTCGATGTCATGAAATACGAAAATACACGTTAATATTCACCTGTTACTTAAGAGCTGTTGATATTTTTGACGCGAATTTAACGGAAGCGTTGAAATTTCACAATGAGAACACGGAATACTAGTAATTCCGTTCGTATGTGAAGCCAATGATATTTATATCTGTCGTCTATAAATGAGATTCATTTGTTAACACCTTGCCTATCACTTGAATAAGACTTTCGCTTTATTACTTTCAACACGTCGATGATTGATGCGATGCATTTGATTCTAATTTAAAATTCAACTTTATCAAGTATGAGCAATATTTCCAAAATATTCCATTGAAAATCGTCAACAGATTGCGAAATAGAAATGGATCCGACTACACCGTGGAACATGTGCTTATGAATTAAAGATCGCATTGAATGAGCTTGATGTACGATAAGAACATGATTTCACAGCGAGATCTGCGCGTTCCTAAACAGGCGAAAGCTGGATACGCATTAACTAGAGGTATACGGGTACTCGAGATTTCGAGATCGACTCGAACTTCGGGAACCCGCACATCCCTAGCATTAACCCTTTGTGCAATATTAAAATTGTATTATCAGTATACTATAAAATGACTTTTTTATTATTGTCACAAACTATAATATCGCGAAAGGAAATAAAAATTGTTAGGGTTCAAAGGGTTAATTCTAGAGCAGAGGAAATGGAGCTAGCAGTGAGATCTCGCGGCTGAAATGGTTTTTAGCTGTACGTGCTCTCGTGTGGTATCGACTAACTGCTCTTTATTTCACGCTATGCGTTTCTATGTGGCTGCAAGCGTGATCCATTGCGGTCAACTTCATTTTTAAACACACCAGCAAGTAATCTCCTTTCTCGAAAGCCATAAGAAACTGAAGCACTCGTTTTCTTTTATTTGAAATTCAGTTTAATTATAGTTTGACGGTTGCATCTCTTAAACAATTATACGTAGAATATTTCTTTACGAATTAATAGAGAATATCGTTCCGAGAAAATACGTAGACTGCACTTTTATTAAATGAAAAAGGGCATTACTGTCTGGCTTCTGCGCTAAATCATTCGACCCGCGCATTCCAAGGAACGTGGAACGCAATTCGATCAATTAAACTTCTTAAGAGGAAAAAAAATGAGTACATCGATGGATTTAATTGGTCAATGAGAACAATTTCATCGTTCGATTAATTCGTTCGAGCAATTTCTACCAGCAAACGCTTCTTCGATTTCCTCCCTGTCGCCCAAACTTTCCGTCCGTTTATAGAAGTTCATCGAGGGAACAATCGAGGAAATCGATAAAATTTCGATTAATCATTCACTGACGTGGCGTTTTCTTTCTTTTATTTTCGGGTCGTTGATTCTACGATTCGACGATTACGGATATATTCGCGACGATTTCCGTTTCGCGTGCATAAATAATGCTCGTTGCTTCATTTCGTTTCTCGTTCATGGAAAAAAGTGCATACCAGATATTTTGGCAAGGGATCCGGTCTGACTTTTGTCTGACCGAGCAAAGTTTCATTCTAGAATTAGCACTTCCGACAACGATTTCTGGCAAAATTCTCCACAAACTTCCCTGAACTGTTCATAATTTTGACAGCTGGTCCAGTTGTCTCGACAAGGTGTTAGTTAAAAATTACAATGCATAAAAATGTTCAAAGGAACTTTGAACATCTAAAGATGGCATAATATATGAGTCTGAATATTTGGAATTTCAGGAAATTTGCAGATTCAGTAAATACGTGCCAAAGAATTTAATTTACAACGTCGGTAAATTTCTAGTTAAACGGTGAATTCTGACGTTTATAATCCCGCTCGTAAAGTGAAGATTTTTATTAATTTTTTTCTTGTGGATCACGTGAATAGTGGTAACAATAGCAATGAGCAATACTGCAATGCTTTCGCAAGAATCATTTCAAATTCATCTAGATACTTCAGATAAATTTCAGAAAATTGATAGCCGGGTTCTAATACCATGCACTTTTCTCTATTTGAAACGAGAACAATTTGAAGAACAAGCCTTTTGTAGCATTCACGGCAATACTCGGAAGCGGACGGAGAAACTTTTCGAAAAAAAGATGGACAATCGGTCGTTCGAAGGTTTCGTATCGTTTTCAAAATTCGTATCGACGTCTGTTCACTCGATCAGGTTGTGTATATGTATAATATGTAGCGACTACGAGGCACGGTATAAGTGTAATAGAATTGTAAAATAGGTAGGTGTGTAGGCATATAGGTACCCATTCAGGTGCGGTAGTTTCTCTCCTTTAGTCGTGCGAAGCTTTCTTAATAGTCGAGAAAGCTTCGAAATATAGTAGTAGTAGCAGTAGTAGTAGTAGTACTAGTAGGTAGTAGTAGTAATAGTAGTAGGTCTGTGTGTGTCGCGTTACACGTGACAAGAGTTCACGCGTCGCGATCAGGCTTAGAGAGTCAGCTGCAACCACCGCACTGCATCACCGCGACGTCCAGCGCCACGACGCAGTACGACGACTAACAAGCCTTCTTTGCTTTCCGACATTTTGCACTTCTCGCCAAGCATCTATCAATTTTTTTTTTTTCCGTTTCGTTTTATATATTTTTTTTCGTTTAAACGTACGTTTATTCAATATGCCAATTGTGTTTCTCAAACTCATATTTTTATTATTTTTTTTTTTTTTTTGTTTTTAAATAATTTCGAGAGCGAGGTCACACGACGTCCAAAAAATCCTCGTCTCTCTTTTTCGTTTTCTTTCGTTTCATTTATATATTCTCTTTTAGACCGTCCGTCCGATGTTTGCGTCGCGGTTCGTCCGGTCGCTCGGTCGCGAGGCTTCAATTTTAAATATTTCTTTTTATTATTATTATTTTTTTTTTTAATCCCGTTGTTCGTTGAGCGACGTCGCTATAGCAAATGTACAATGTAACCGTTTCAAACCGTTATTGAACCCGCGATCGTCCATCAAATAGACCGTGCCGTTTTCTTTCTAAAACGGTACCGTGTTCTTTATATTTTGATGTTTTTTTTCGTTTTGTTTCATACTTTTTTTGTTTATTACACATATAATTGTTTTTTGTCACTTTCACACGTTACTCGCAGAGCACTTTTCATAGAGCCCGAATCTACGCCCGCAGTGTTTATACGCAAGTCTGGAATCATATAAATGCACATATTATATAGTAAAGACAGATTTCATCTTTATATAATCCTTCATAGGAACAAATAGTTTCTCGCTTGCACACCGCATCGCCTCGATTTACGGATCATCCTTAGTCAATGACGAAGAAAAGCGCCGCGAGGATTCTCTCCTTTCTGCACCTCCTCCCTCGATTCGAGATCGATCGAACTGTGTAATTATCCGATTTCTCGATCGAATGCTAATTTATTGTTGCGCAAAAGCAATAGGAAATCGTTTTTTTCGCCACGAAACGCTTTATCGTGACTCCGACCTTGCCAGTCAATTATTTCCAGCACGAAATTATCGAGCAATTACGCTTACGACGATTAGAACGAGTGTTATCCAAGAGCAGTGTAATGTTCGAGAAAAAATGCTAGAATGTGGATATTAGTTGTTGCGTTTCCTCATCTAGAGAAATTTATTTGTATTAAAAAAAAAATCATTTGAAATTATTAAATTATTGAGGGATTAGATATGAGATAATTTTAGGCCCTAATGAAGAAATTATGGGGAAAAATATAATGAATCCATCAAAATAGAAATTTGTTTTTTTAGAGGTGCAGCAAGGAGACACTCCATCTTATACGCGAAAAATCTAAAAATTTTGTTATTTTGCCACTGAATCGACGATCAGTAGAATCGCTCGTTTGTGCAGGAAATCGGCTCCTTTGTGCATCATTTACGTATACTGTATCCTCTCATTTTTTTTCTATTGCTCTACTTGTGATGGTGCAAAAACAAGGGAAATGATTGCTGTCGTACAGTGAAAATCGAGTAAATTATTGCTGACAATGATGAGGTTAAAGCATTTATTTTTTGACATTACAGATTTATTAACAGGCTATACTTACTGATAAAATATTAAAGTACTACCGTAAGTTACATATCAAAAACCGAATAAAATTTTCATTAGTTATTAAATCAGACTTCTTTACGGATTTCAATCAGAGCTGGTAAATCAATATAATCCTTATTTTATTAATAAATAAAACTACATCAATTTTTCAAATCAGCTATAGAAGCTCTTATAATCGAATTTTATCCGCAAGAACTCGATAGTTCTTAATAAAGGAAGAAAAGAAAAATTCGGTTTCGTTAACACAAATGGGTTATGAAATTAAGGAAAACAAAAGCAAAAAAAAATATGATACAGTGAATAAAAAAATGAAAGCCCATTTCTCTACAAACCAGCGACAATAAAATCGTCATTAGCGGTCAATCATTAAGCATCCCAGGTGCCAGGTATACTACGAATTCTACATCAGCGATAAGGCGGTATGCATGAATTGAAATTGTGAAATGAAACGATCAATACAAAATATACATACATCTAAACATATATATGAATGAATATATGTATGTATTTAGGCTATGTAAAATAGTAACAGAGCACAGAATGAGAGAATACACATATATACGATAAAATGCACAATATATGATCCTCGGGTTGTCACTCACGTTTGCTTGAGCACGGAGCAATTGAGTTTGGCAATAAAGCAATGGTGATGATTGGTCGTGGTAGCAGATAGTGAATTTGCTCGACTATCGTTGAACCGTTCGTTCGCGTCGGTTTCATAAACCAAGATTCTCACTTACTTGACAAGAACCATGTCTGACAGTTCTGTTTTCACGCCGTGCTTCTTGGGGTCGTATTCCGCTATCATTGGGCGCATTGGCGTTCTCTGAAACAGAAAATATTCTTAATTAATCAACGATTCTTTCGCATAAATTGATCACAGTTATCGCTTGAACATATGTAACTCTGTTGAATAAGCTTCCCTGATACCTTATAAAAGAACAGATGGTACACGTTAATGTTACAAGCTACGACTTCTCAAAGTTGCATGACCAGGTAATAATCGAGAATTTTGTTGCAAACGTATACAAGTTAGCGTTGATCGCTTCTTTCAGAACAGAAACCGTATATACGGAATGTTCATCCTTTTTTACACATTAATGTTGATGCTATGTTAGCCTTGATTGTAGCGAGGTTACATCAAGGAAACATTGCTGTAACCGAGTTGACCATTGGACCTTGATACCGATTCACTTTTAATTCATTTCAGTACATCATTCTTATTTAGAGGTACTAAATTAAATATTCTTTCAATAACAATGCATTAGATTGTCTCGAACTTTTATACTTTCATGTTCACTGGCACCTGTGTGAAGCCAGATGGTCTACAACCTGTTCCACCTGTGAATGCTCCTGTTTCGTAACAGTCTAGTGAACAAAAACAGTTTCTGTTGCTCGATTTTTATCATTCAACGGTATTATACCTTTCTATCAAAAACACGTAATTTAGTCTAGACATTCGAGATTGAACGGGAAGAAAAACTTGGAATGCAACTAAATGCATTGAAGTAAAGTGTTGCAATGCAGTTGTTTAATGTTGTTCCACTTTCTTGTGAAAGATATTAAAGGTAAACTGTGATATGATCAAGTTGATGAATTTTTTAATGCTTCTACATTTATTAAAGTAAAAATAATTCAAAAAAATAGAAATTTAAAAAATCACAGTGCGAGACCCTAGGAAATATGAAGTGATTATTTTACAAAATTTAATTAATTATTGTTTTGTCTAAAACTGACAATATGTACCATGATGTGGGGTCGATCATTCTCCAACGTCGACATGGAGCTCATCTCCACCTCGTGTAGACTGTCGGTGTTCCCCATTGTTCAACTTTTGCTCAATGTACGGTGTCTGATCATCACCTTGTTTCCAACACCTAACACCCTTCTGCCCTATTTTCTTAAAGTACGGATTGTCAATAACTAGTCACGTGTTTTATTTATCTTCCATTGGTGTCAACTGATGTCCACCGTCCGCCAAAAAAGCAGCTCAACCGTTTCGAACACGCTCTGTCTGATTTGTCCCAGTTCCTTACCAACCACAATATTATTCACCTAAACGAGCGACTGGCATTAGGGCAACCTGATATATTGTTGCAAACAAGGATGACGTGTCGTGATTAAGAGTGATTTTGAAATAACGAATTCCTTAACACATCGAATGTCACAAGTAGAAAATTAACTGATTGTGTTCTGCATAATTACAATAGAACACATCATCCTTGTTTGTTTTGATTAAAATGCATCTCATTGGTTCAAGAGGTTATCCTAATGCCTGCCTCCGGCATCCACCACTTGATCAAAGACGCGCACCTTTTGAACACGTGGGTAACCTTTGAAGTAGGCTCATGTACGATCACAAACGTGCGATATCCAGCCACATTTTACACAGTATAGGATTCTGCTCGACGATAATCCTTTGAACAAGTTGCAAACACATGACGAGAATTTTTTAAAATCCAAGAAGACGAACGCGAACCAAGAGACCGAACCGAGGATAAACCAGAACGACGGCACGTTCTGCAAGTGAACACACCTCCACGATTCCTTCGGATAAACTATGCTGTTGCTCGTCTCCTCTAGCAGCTCTATCTACGGCACCGAGTGGCGACGCGCAGAAAACCGCGGATCGCTGCCAAATCTTTCGGCAATGTCCCGAGGACGGTCTCTTTATATACCAAACGGCTACGAAAATAGGAAGAACAAACAGACGTGGACATCTCACGTGAGCCTCCTGTCTCTGCTGACTAGCTAACCAAGCTTATTAGAGTCTATTTGAACTATGCGACAGATGGAGGTTTTTGCGTCAGCTGCGTTCACTGATTCCAACGTCGTCCTACCACGAATATGGAATATCTCAGGATCGTTTCATTTTTATTTATTTCTATTTTTTTATTTATAGATCGTTTGAGTGAAATAGTGATTTTCCATGAATGGAACACGGCCAGCAAGAATCGTTGAAGTGTAGAGTTCAAAAATTTCTCGTTTCCATTTTCAACTTTGATCGAAGAAATGAAGTAAGGAGAAGTGGTACACGATTATGAATAAAAAAGAATGTTTCCTATCCACATGAAATTCATATACTTAAAATTAGAATCATTAAAAGCAAGTTACATTGTGGTGAAACACGTGGAATCGAATGAATGTCACGTGAATGGCACAGTTTCTATAAGTCCTCCACTTCTAAAGAAAAGCTTCGTTATCTCGTATCTATACTAATTTTTCTCGTACGATGATAGTAATATCAGCCATTATAAAGGCGCACTGTCATTTAGTTCGTTTAACCGTGAATGGCACCAATCTTTCTGGAGCAAATGGAACAATTGTAAATGGCACTCTGCAAATAGTCTCAATGTTACCCGTGTCCACGAACAGTATGCTCCATAGGGCCAGTCATTTCGTTCACTTAAGCATAAGTAATGTCAATTTTTCAGCGATTGGGATCGTTTATATTACATAGACTTGGTTTTATTTCACTTCAAAGCATCGTTTAGTTTGAAATTGCTACATTGGAATTTTTTTTATTTATAAAGCAATTGCCATTTCCAATAATTCAGCTACAGTATTTCATTTATAGGAATAAATAGAAGTTTCGAAAAATAGGATAATTGACTATACTATTTGCACTATAGTAGAAAGGCAACCGTGCTTGGAATACCTATAGGATTATTTTCATCCAGAGCAGAGAATACCACGGTTCTGAAGCACTCGACAGAACTGCTGCTCCGAAATTAGAATTTTCGCCACAGTTACATTCTGCAAAAGCTGAATTAAATGTCGCCAGTCGATGGTTCGTTTCAAAAATGTTATTTTGTTATAAAATTTCAATAAAAGAATCAAGTTTATTGTTGGTCGTTGCGTGAACGGGCTATTTTCAAAAGTGGATCGCTTTAAAATAACTTGCACGCTCGTTTGTTTGGTAATAAAATGGAATGAGCAAAAGCGGGACTATGGAAAATTTAAAACACATGTTCCGTTCGTGTATCAAGTATTTCGGTTGGCCTTTTTAGCATACTTTGTAAATTAAACTGGCTCGATTATTTTAGTAACGTCGAACGTCATTCGACCGGAAACGTGGGAGTAAATCTGTTCAAAAATTTTCGATAAATATCAGAATTCTGTTGGACGAGAATCATTAGTCACAGCTTATAAATTTACTCGTCTAATTGTTAGTAGCTTCCAATTTTTATTAACATCTCAGAATATTAAAGTAGATTTGCATCTGCTTAGACTAAACACGTTATGAAATGCATTCATTCTTTAGTCTTCGTGTATTCATTATCGACTGTTTTTAGCAGCAGGATAATTTACATGATAATTGTATAGGTTTATGATTATTGTAAGTGGATAAAGTTCAAGATTGCGGCAGTCTTAGTAATGCCTTTACTCAGAGCTATAAATATGTTGTCATTTTGTTAACTTTCTACGCATTTATGTAGATTTCGAAATGACAGATGAAATTTATGTTGTGAGTTCGAAAATTTCTTCCGCTGAAGTAGAAATGGGATGAGACTTTCTAATTATTTAAATATTTTTAATTCGAAGGCCCCCAGCAATATCAAATAATTCCATTAGCGATACAGTAAAGATATAACCGCAATTCGTGCAAGATCAACAAGAACAGAAAAATCCTACGTTAAAACCAAGATCTCGTAAGTCCAAGGAAAATACTCTTCCACCAACGTATTTGTGTTTCAAAAATAGCATTCGGTAGATGTCCAACGAGTTAGCGCCACAATAATGGCGCGTCGTTCCGTTTATTTTCGAACCTCGCTAACATGATTCAAATCTCTAGTTATTTTCTCCACTCTTTTACCATCGAACTACATATCGTAGATATTAAAACAATAGGAAAATCAATTGATCAATTACGATACCGAAATTCATAGTTTCGATCGCATACGTCCTTTCAGTCTCGTGAACTGTTGGCACGTTACCATGGGGTTATTTTAGTCTCGGCGCCTCGGCGAAAGCTGTGTCGTAATCATTTTGGTAATATTACACTCTTTTTACAATTCTTCCAATAACGAGAAACCCACTGTTACGTTCGTAAAATGAAAACAATGAAAAATATCTAATCTAACGTTTCAAGTGCACTCGACAAATCTGAATTACCTCCTAATTAAAACATCCATTACGTCCACGGTCTCTAAGTTGACGGAAGCGTAGCCGGCAGATTAAGATAATGTATTTTAATGACTTGATAAAGACTCACGCTGAATCGTTGAGCTTATTACGGCGCAGGAAGCGAAAGATCGTTGGAGTTAGAGTCGCGTGAACGGGAAGCATCGAAATGTTGATCCAGAAGGGTGTTGTTGGCTTAATGACCATCCCACAGAGAAACGGAGAGAAAAGATGGGGGCGAATTGATATGAAGCGAGAGATATGAAAACGTGGGGTCCGACGCGACCAAGGCCTTGAAGTTTAATCAGCCACGGTCATTCAGTCGTTAATATTAGAATATACCCGGACAACACGTTCGTATAAAGTCCTGATAATGTAATGATACACGTTCCGGACATCGTATCATGAATATATAGATTGGTATAGCGCAATTGTACAAATTATGGGATGGCGAACGATTAGAGGTTTCCTTTTCCTCCTGTGCGGTTTTGTCCAAAGAAACCATGGCTTGTGGTCAGAACTGATATCTTGTTTCTTCCTTTCATATATTTTCGTATTTTCTTTATGATTCCTCCTTGTGCTTACAAATTTGATTTTTTTATTAAGCTAAGCATTCTTTAATCAAGCTTGGCTTTTCAAGTTTCTTCTTTACGCTCCAATGTTCATCCTTGACCTAAATCACCATCTTAAGCCGCTACCACT